CTTCAGAGGGTGGTGTGATAAGAATAGGAGGTAGGAATTGGCTAGGCAGTTAGGATAAAAGACCCCAAAGAAAAGTAGCCAGTTTCTTGGCTAAAAGTCAAATTGCCCTTGGACCTTTTTGCAACGTACTCTTCCAAAGGCCAAAGACGTCAAAAGTATTTGGGAGTTCTTAGCTCTAAAAGATTTTATCTTTCACTTAGAACTTCCCAGAACCAGCAGTCACCTCAGTGGGTATTTTTACAGGACTGACTCCCTGGCTTCTGCCCTTACTCAGCCAGTCCCTTGCTCTCTGTTACTTTGGTGCTAACCATTGCTCCCTGCCTCTTCAGATATTTTCAGGGCTGGATTCAACAACTAACTCACACTAATTTTAATCAGCTGTTACTTTCCTTCCCTCCACATGTATAGGAGCACCTGTCAACCATCAAGGACCCTGTTCAGATGCACGAGGTGTGAACCCCCCATCTCTGACTGACCCCTAATACAGCCTTCCCCATGTTCACCATGTTCAGCAGCAAGACGATGATGGCATCCCCTATCCTATAATATAAAAGGCTGGAATGTTAGGGTTCAGATCTGTAGCAACCCCCTCCCCAGTGCAACAGGACCTCATGATTTTATAAGCCCTTTGAAAAATACAGGAACTAAGTTAATGAGCACTCTGACCATCTGCAGACACTCTTTACACCTTTGACCCAAGACCCTCATTGCTACAAGAGCTGTTTCAACACAGCCTGCTTCCCCTTTGATAATCTTAGAAGATAAACAGACCCCTTATCCCATGACCAGATCCTGGCTGACAGAAGGGGCCCCTTTGACAGAGGCTATTCTCTCCTCATAAGCCCTGGGTTCTCTCCCTCCCACCTAACTTTTAAAAAATATCTTCCCAGCCAGGGGTGGTGGAACACGCCTTTAATCCCAGCACTCGGGAGGCACAGGCAGGTGGATCTCTGTGAGTTCAAGGCCAGCCTGGTCTACATAGTGAGTTCCAGGCCAGCTGGGGCTACAGGGAGACCCTGTCTCAAAAAGAAAAAAAAAAGAAAAAAAAGTGTTTGTAGTAGTCTCGTGCAAATGAAGGATATGACAGTCCTTTATGCAAACAAAGGGTTGTGTTTACACTGATTATGGACCTTCTGGGTCACTAAGGGAAGTGTTCCCTCTGGCTGGAATGAAAATGACTGTTAGTGTGCTCAAGGCTTGTCAGTGTAAGTGCACACATGCATGTATGTGTGTGGAGGCCAGAGTGCCATCCACTTTTTTTTTTTTTTTTTTTGTGCTTGCACTTGTGGGGCTGGCTGACTGAGCTGCCTCCACAGCTCCAACCAAAGCATTTGATGGCAAAAAGTTTGGTGCAGGCTGCTTGAAGCGGTTGTGACTGGCACTCCAGTGCCTCAGGAACTGGAACTGTGCTTCAGCCCCAAGCTGTGGCCATGATGGGCCCTTCTTAATTATCTGTGATCTGTGGTGTGTTTAAAGCAGTACAGTTGCCACAAGGGTAGTCTACCTGGCTGGCAGAGCGGGCTGACAGTCCTCTACCAAAGAAGCCAGGCACCATGGAAGGGTCTTTGCAAAGGCCATTTTCTCCATACCTAAGCATAAGGACCACCAGAAGCAACTGTTTTCAGCTGGAAAGGCCAGCAGTATACCTTTACTATTCTACTTAAAGGATGTAATAATTCTCTAGCTGTGTCATAACTTAGTTCACAAGGATCTTGATTGCCTATCTCTTCTACAAGGTGTCACAGTGATCCACCATATTGATGACATGCTGATTGGACCAACTGAACAGGAAGTAGCAATCATTCTGAACTTGTAAAAGAATATGCTTATTAGAGGATTGGAAATAAATCCAACCAATACTCAAGGGCCTTCTACATTAGTAAATTTTCTAGGTGTCCAGCGTTGTGGGACATGCAGCCATACTCCTTTTAAGGTGAAGGGTACATTGTTAAACCTAGCCACTTAGCTTCCTTGGATTCTGGAGGCAGTACATTCTTCACTTGGGTGTGTTACTCCTGTGCATATACTAAGTGACTCTAAAAGCTGAGTTTTCAGTTGGGGTCAGAACAGCAGAAGGCTCTGCAACAGGTCCAGGCTGTTCTGTTACTTGGGTCATATGATCCAGCAGACCCAATGGTATTTGAGGTACTGATGGCAGTTAGAGATGTCTTTTTTAAATTACATTTGTGTGTGTGTGTGTGTGTGTGTGTGTGTGTGTCCATGTGATACAGTAGAGGTGTGGAGGTCAAGGACAACTTGCAGGAATGGTTTATTCTTTCCACCAAACTCAGGTCATCAGACTGGGCAGTGAGTGCTTTAACTCACCATCTCACCAGCCCGGGCCCAGGGATGCTGTCTTGGGTCTTTGGCAGACCCCCACAGATGAATCATAGTAGAGGCCGTTGGGATTTTGGAGGAAAACGCTGCTGTCATCTGCAGGTAACTATTGCACCTTTGAGAGACAGCTCTTAGAAACTGGGTGTTTATATGACTGACCAAGTCATAAAGTTGGACACACACAACTGCAATTCATCCCCACATAGAAGTGTTGCATACATGACTCGACTCAGATCCTGAAGTTGCCCAAATGCCTATGATTCCTACTCCTGTTACTATGCCTTCTGTCCCTAAGCATGTGCCCATGACCCCATGGACTATGCCCTGGGATCAGCTGACTGAGGAAGAAGAGACTAGGACCTGGTCTACTAAGCAGGATCCACTTAGAAGTAGACAGCTGAAATAGCTTCTTTTTGAGAAAACCCTGAAGGACAGTGTCCTCGTTACTTTCTATTGCTGTGATAAAAACACTGACCAGCCAGGTGTGGTGCTGCACGCCTTTAGTCCCAGCACTTGGGAGGCAGAGGCAGAAGCAGGCAGATCTGAGTTCAAGGCCAGCCTGGAGAGATGGCTCAGCAGTTAGAGCACTGGTTGCTCTTGTAGATGACCACTGACAGCAGTTAGAGCACTGGCTGCTCTTGTAGGGTTCTGTTTCCAGCACGCACATGGCAGTTAACTGTCCATAACTCCAGTTCCAGGGGAATCCGATGCCCTCTTCTGACCTCTGTGGCACTGCACGACATGGGTGTACGCACATACATGCAGGCAATATACTCATACACATTAAAAAAAAATTAAAGAAACACTAGACTCCCCGCTAATGCCTGCCAATATAGCCACCCCCAGCCGGCCCAAACTTGGCTAAGTTACCTGCACACCTAAACTAGAGCTTTGGAGTAGTAAACTAGTAACAGCCAAACTTGCCTGCAACATCATGTATCTGATAAGCTTTAAAATAAATGGGATAAGCTGGGCATGATGACACCCACCTTTAATCCTAGCACTTGGGAGGCAGAGGCAGGCAGATCTCTGTGAGTTCAAGGCCAACCTTGTCTATATAGTGAGTTCTAGGTCAGCTAGGGTTACAGGGAGACCCTGTCTCAAAAAGATCCCCCCCCAAATAAAAAGAATATAAAGCATAAAGATGAACCCACCCAGAGTTTTTGTTGAGAAACGGGGAAAGATTAAGACCTAGGATACATGTATGATTGAACCCTCTTGATTGTTCAGAAAAGAGCAAGAGTGATGTGTTCAGGGTTTATAATCTGTCCTCTGTGCTAAAAAACCTGCCATTCTAGGCTAACAACCTACTCTACATGGTTGTAAAATAGCCTGCCCTGACTTCACTACCCTGAGTTTCCAGTGCTCTTATTATGAAGTGAGCATCACTGTAACATGAACCAGGCATAGTGGTTCAAATCTGGAATCCCAACACGGGGGAGGAGACTGGTGACCACTCTGAGTCTGAGGCCAGCTTGGGCTGCAATCTTTTTCAAAATACAGAAACGGACCCTAAGGTTGAGCAGGTAAGAGTGCTTGCTCTGCAAGACTGACTACCAGAAGTCCAGCCCAAAGAAACGTGGAAGAGAATGAACTCCACGAAGTTGTCCTCTGACTTACACATGCACACATACATACACACAATAAAAGGGAAAAAAAAAAACCAACCAAAAACCAAGGGGGCAGGAGAGCTGGTTCAGGGGTTAAGAGCACTGGCTACTCTTGCAGAGGACCTGATCCCAGCACCTACATGATGGCTAACAATGGTCTGTAACTCCAGCTCTAAGGGATCTGATGTCTTCATTTTTTAATTTTAAAAAATTTTATTTTTATGTGTGTGCGTGTGTGTATTGCCTGCATGTAGGTAAGTGCACCCCTGTCATGCAATGCCCACAGAGATCAGAAGAGGCTGTCGGATCCCCTGGGACTGGAGTTACGGACAGTTGTTAGCTGCTATGTGGGTGCTGGGATTCAAACCCTGGTCTTCTGCAAGAAGTCAGTGTTCTTAACCGCTGAGGCATCTCTCCAGCCCCCCATTTTTTAATTATTTTTTTTATGTGTACGAGTGTACTGCCTGCATGTATGTAAGCGCGTCCCTGTGGTGCAGTGCCCATGGAGGTCAGAAGAGGGTGTTGGACCCCTGGAACTCGAGTTATGGACAGGTGTTAGCCACCATGTGGGTGCTGGGAATTGAACCTGGGTCCTCTGGAAGGGCAGTCACTGCTCTTAACTGCTGAGCCATCTCTCCAGCCCTCTGATGCCTTCTTCTGGCCTCTGCAGGCACTGCAGGCACATGGTACGCATACATATATGCAGATAATACACTCATATACATAAAATGGGAAATTAAAAAAAAGAAAAAGTCGCAAACAAAAATCACCACTACCCAAACCAACAAACGCCCTCAAATAAAGGCTCCCGGGCGAGCCAGAGTTTCTGGCTCATGGAGCGTCTGGCCACAGCGTAATTCCCGCTACTGCGATCCCGACTTCACTCTCCAAATCCACGGGTGCGACCCCGTCCTGCCAGGGCGCCACCTGTGCGCGCCGCAGTCTCTGGAAGGCTGCGGAGGTCTGGACCGGAAGTTCTCACCATCGAGAGGGGGCGCCCCCCCACCAGTTCCTAGAGCGGCTCCGGAAGTCCCCCAGGCGGGGCCTCGGTGGCTTCCGGCCTGGGCGTGCCGTGCTGGTGCGGGCTTTGTCGGCGGCCGGGGCTCTGAGTGGCCCGGGGCGTGCTGTCGATGCTGGGCGCCGGGTGAGTGGGGCGTCGCGGCTCGGCCGGCGGGTAGTCCGTCGGCCTCCCGGGACCTGTGCTTCGCCCTGGCGGGCGCCCGAGCTCCTCGCCCCGGCCCAAGCCGGTCCTGTGCCCGCCCAGCTTCGAGCGGTAAATACTTGGCCCCGGCGCCCGAGGTCGGCTCGGCCCGTAGGGATTTCACACACAGCCCCGGCTCCTGCAGCCCAGACTTCCGGCGGCCGTTGGCAGGCTTGTGAGCCGCATGGCTGCCCGGGTGATTGGGGTGCAGGTCGGGTTCGCTGCCGTGTGGCTCGGACCTCGCTCCCCTGCGGCTCCTGGCCTGGCTTGCTCGGGCCTGTGGTCCTTGCAGCGGAGGCACCTCGGCGCTTCTGGGGTTAGGGACCGAAGTGTCACGGGCAGAATCGGCTCCATGTGGCCCGAAGGAGGATTCCCGGCTGGGGTCAGGTAGTCGGCTAGGCTGTCCTAGCTTTTTCATGAGGCTGCTTCTCACCCCTAAAAGTGTGCAAGTCAGCGTCTGTGTGATGATGGCAGGAACATTTAATTCCCTTTGCACTCTGGTGTCCCTGGGGCCTGATTAGTACCCAGAGGTTTTCCAAGGAGGAGGGTTCTAAACACAGTTTGCCGGTGATGCCCGTTTTTCAGCCGCTCTGGTTACTTCTGAAGTCGGGTCCCAATGAACGAGAGAAAGAGACGTCTTATACTCCTGAAGAATATGAGAAATTCTCATTTTTATTGAGTCTTAAGGCGGGGCCTCACTTCCTACCCACAGAGAGGCGACACCTGTCCTGGTCGTGGATATACATTCCTTTTCATGAGAGGAACAGAGACACTTCACGGGGCTGTACATGAGGCCACTCCTGGACCTTTGCAGTGGATTCCTTGTTTTCCTGGAATAATTGGGGGATCGATAGGGAGGGGCAGACTCATGTGGCTGGAGGTGGGAGAAAGGCCGGGGAAGTCGCAGTTCTAGAGTAGGATGGTGTCCTTGGAGCCGTTCAGAGGGCCCTGGTTGTGCTCTGGGGTAGTGGACATGGCTTGTTAGGAAAAGAGGCTTGTTTGTGTTTGGAGAGAGCCCTGTGTGCAGATTTTGGGGGTAGAACTGAGTGAATGAAATGGCCTGAGGGGCAGGAGGAAGTGAGATCCTGAGGGTGGCCAGCGGCTCCTCTCCAGACCTTAAGTAAGATACCTCTGTTGAACTCATGGATGATTGTGAGAACAGGAAACAAGCATACTTGTATATACAGTACTTGACTTCCACAGCTGCAGGCACATACACAGGCCTCTGAAGAGGCAGACACTTAGGCTCCCTTGCCTGGATACTCCCAAGGCTGAAGCTCTGTGAACTTTCCTGCTCCTTTTCTTCAGGACATGAGTAACAGATGGTGACTGGCCACCAGCAGGTGTAGACCAGAATGCTTTTCTGCCAGTGTGGATATAAAAGCTGAGCTAACACTCTGAGAGGGCCCCTCCCACACCATCTGGATGTCCCAGTGCCACTGTCACTACTGCTGCTGAATAGCCCAGGCTTTTACTTAGGCCATGTGTGTGTTTGTACTACTAAGATTCCATTTGTTGTAACAGGAAAGGGTCATGTGGGGCCAGGATCCTGGCATCATCGATTTACTTTGTTAGTTTACTGAGTTCATTCAAGTTTCTTTAGATGAAAAAGTACCCACATGATTTTACTTTGGAGGAAGGAGGGCTAGGGAAATGGCTCAGTGGGTAAAGTACTTGCCACCAAGTGTGACAACTTGAGTTAAAATCCCCATAACCCACATGGTGATGAGGTGTGTCCTCTGACCTCCACACACACCATGGCACATGCCACTGTATAGTATACACAGAGAAGTAGATTTTTTATGGCCATACACCCAGAATATGCCTGATTTGGCCAGATCTCAGGAATTCAGCAGGGTCTAGCTTGGTTAGTATTTGACTGGGAGAAAGAAATAGATAAATGTAAAAAAATCAGAAGTAAAAGGATGGGACTCCTGGTGGGCCCAATGGATGGATCCACGCTGAAGGACATTGGTGGACACAAATCATACTCTATAGGCCATGTTTTTATATTTATATAATATATATGTAGTATATAACATATATATATATATATATTCATTAAATGGGGTGTGGTGAGTGGAGTGGAGGCTCAGAGAGGGGAGCAGATCTAAATGCCATCAACTGTAGTATGAAAATCGCAAAAATTCAATAAAAATGCAAAAAAAGAAGCAGAAGTTGCTAAGTAGAAACTTAAAATTGCTAGGTTTTGAGATAAATCTTCAAGTACGTTTTATTTTGGAAACTTTCTTTAAAGTAGAAAATTATAAAAGCTACCAAGAGGCATATATGGTTTGTAAACAGATGTGCTTGTTTCCAGGTAGCATAGTTAGTTAAATAAAACCAGGGAGCTAGAGACATGGTTCAGCGGTTAAGAACACTGGCTGCTCTTGGAGAGGACCCAGGTTAAGTTCCCAGCACCCACATGGTATCTTTAACTCTAGTTCCAGAAGACCTGAAGTCCTCTTCTGACCTCTGTGGGCATTGCATGCATGGGTGCACTTACATACATGCATCTAAAACATTCCTACACTAAAATAAAATCAGAACTGGGTATGGAGGTGCCTTTAATTACAGTACTTGGGAGGCAGAAGCTAATGTCATGGCTACATAGCAAATTCTGGGCCAGTCAGGTCTACATAGATCCCGTCTAAAAAACTGGGTGGTACCTCAGTGGTAGAGCCTTTGTCTAGCATTGTGTAATAACCCTGGGCTCTATTCCTGGTGCCACATGAAATAGTAAAGTCAGAAAGTATCAGTGACTTCTTTTGTTGGGGGGTTATTTTTCAGACAGGGTCTCCCTGTAGCCCCAGCTGGCCTGGAACTCGCTATGTAGACCAGGCTGGCCTCAAACTCCCAGAGATCTGCCTGCCTCCGCCTCTTGAGTGCTGGAGCTAAAGGCCTGCACCACCACACCAGGCTTCAGTGACTTCTAAAACAGGAAGCCATGTGCCTATTTTCAATACCCTTTTTTTAAGAGAAACAGACTCAACTTAAAACTTACATAATACTAATTCTAGTCCTTGTCTAAGCAAAATACATGTAAAAGCAACATTGTATTTGGAAAAGATAGTCTCTCATACCAGGAAATGGACACTGGTAGTGACAGACCTGAATTTGAACCTTAGCTCTGCTCCTGACCACATTACTGGCCTTGACTGATTTGCTCTCTCTTCTAGCCTGTTTTCTCTTCGTTAATAGTGTGGACAATATCTACTCTGTGGGGAATGTGTGCGATGATGCAGGTGCTTGCTCAGCATTTCGGTTGGCTGGGATGCACTGAACTTCCTCATGCCAAGTGCCAGTTAGACTCTAGTGCCCACTGGTTGGCAGCACTGCCTTGCTTTAGCCTCTTCTCATGGGTCCTGTCTGCTTAAAATGTACATGAGGGAGCAGAGTAGGCCATGGGCCTCTGGAAACAGTAGGCTCTTGGGCAGGGTGATATGCCAGGTTGGGTTTAAATACCTAATCGTGATCTGAATTCTGCCCTTCTGCCTGCTTGGGGAAGGGGCCTGGTAGTAGGAGATAGGGAGCATCTCTTCAATAGGACAGCAGGGAAGGGAGTATGGAGCTAGCTCAGAGGACTGTCACCCTTGTGTTGAGGAGTAATGGAGGGTGGTACTGAGGCAGCAGCTGGGTGCATTTAAAGGCCTGGAGGTCTGTTGGTGGATCGGATGTGGGCTGTGAATAGAAGGAGTCTAGGGTTGCACAGCTGTTGCCCGAACAAGAAGAAGACAGTGCAGGTCTCACTATGTAGAGGGGCAGGTTGGGTAAGAGAAGTCAAAAGTGACACCTCAGGTGTGAAAAGCTGAGAATAGCCAAGTGAAGGCTTGGTCAGGTTGGCTCGTCAAGTGAGGAAGTTGGGGATGAGCTCAGCTGCAAGTGGAAAAACATGCTTTCCACAGTAGATAGCATCTCTGCTAAGACAGGTGCTAGAGTGAGTGGAGATGGAGGAGGTCTTGCCTGGATCATAACAGGGCTCCAGACTGGTACAAACAGATGTGTCAGGGAAGTGGACATCCTTACCTCATTGCCTTTACTAAGGGACAGAAAGAAGTATTGGACTTTTCTTGTCTTATTTAGACAGGGTCTCCCTGTAGCCCCAGCTGCCCTGGAACTTACTATGTAGACCAGGCTGGCCTTGAATTCACAGAGTTCCTCCTGCCTCCGCCTCCCAAGTGCTGGGATTAAGGCGTGCCCTCCTGGAGGGCAGAACCAAAGATGGACAGGGCTAAGTGTATGAAGTGTTGAGGACTGTGCCAGTTAGGCCTATGGCAGGAAGCAGGGACCACTGGAGCCATCCCAAGGACCAGGGGTTCCATTCAGGGAACTAGATGGTAAAGCCACCGAAAGGGGAGGACTCGAAGTCTGGAGACCCTAACCGGGCTCTTGGCTTCAAGGTCAGTCATGGTAGGTTGGAGATGCTACAGCTGCTGTTGACACTGTGGCTCTGTGTGGCACATACAGCCTAAAGTGACTGCAGTACTGTGGACCATGGGATCCATGTTGGGTGGGGACAGGAGGAAGAATATAAAAGAATAAGGGGTGGTGAGGTTGGTACATTAAAGCACTGTTCTTTGGAATTGTATGTCTTGAGTTTTAGGTAGAGTCCCAGCTGTATCCATATCCCTCTGCCTCCCACACAGGTCACAGAGGTTAGAGGACTGCTACAAATCACAGGCCTGTCGGTCCTGGAATTGGGTGAGTCAGAAGTAGAACCACAAAGGAGCTTTCTCCTGTGGATGGCTGGTTAGAGCAAGATGAGAGCTGATAACAGCACAGGGTTAGAAGTGTGGGCAGAGGAAATGCTTCCTCTCTTCCTTGATGGGAGTTGAGTCTTCTACTACAGGAGGTTCAGCAGCTTCTTGTTAACAGGGAAAAGACCATTTTCTTGTGTCATTTCAGATTCTGCTGTAGGAGCTGGTGACAAGAAGGTGACTGAAGCCTGAATTCTTCAAGATGAAAATCCATATAAGATGATGTCAGACAGACTCACAGTGATGGAGCCTTCTGCCCCTGAATCTGGGGAATTTCATGAGGACAGATTAGTGCAGCTATTGGAGAACCCAGAACAGCAGAGCCTGGAGAGCCTCCCCTCTCAGGAGGGGGGCTTCAAGCAGGTGACAGTGACCCACTGGAAAATTCAAACAGGAGAAGCAGCCCAGGTGTGTAGTAAGTCAGGAAGAAACCCTATTTTGAACTCAAACCTTCTTATACTTCAGAGAGAGCTTATAGAAGGGGAGTCGCATCCTTGTGGTATTGGTGGCAAAAGCTTCCCATTTAATTCAGACCTAGTTACACATCAAATTTCTCACACTGGGGAGAAGCCTTACAAATGTGATCATTGTGGGAAAGGCTTCAGTCAAACCTCACTCCTCACTGAGCATCAGAGAATCCACACTGGGGACAGACTTTATGTGTGCAGTGTGTGTGGGAAGGATTTCATTCACTATGCAAATCTAATTGAGCATCAGCATGTTCATACAGGAGAAAAGCCGTTCAAGTGTGTACAGTGTGGGAAAGCATTTTGTCATAGCTCAGACCTGCTTCGGCATCAGAGGGTTCATACCAGAGAGAGGCCTTTTGAATGCAAAGAATGTGGGAAAGGCTTCAGTCAGAGCTCCTTACTCATCCGCCATCAAAGAATTCACACAGGAGAAAGACCCTATGAGTGTAATGAGTGTGGGAAATCCTTCATTCGGAGCTCAAGCCTTATTCGGCATTACCAGATCCACACGGAAGTAAAACAGTATGAATGCAGAGACTGTGGGAAAGCCTTCCGACACCGCTCAGACCTCATTGAGCACCAGAGAATTCACACTGGAGAGAGACCCTTTGAGTGCCATGAGTGTGGGAAGGCCTTTATTCGGAGTTCAAAGCTCATTCAGCATCAGAGAATTCATACTGGAGAACGGCCCTATGTGTGTAATGAATGTGGGAAGCGTTTTAGCCAGACATCCAACTTTACTCAACATCAAAGAATCCATACTGGGGAGAAACTCTATGAGTGTAATGAATGTGGGAAAGCCTTCTTTCTGAGTTCATACCTGATACGACACCAGAAAATCCACACTGGTGAACGGGTCTATGAATGTAAAGAATGTGGGAAGGCTTTTCTGCAGAAAGCCCACCTCACTGAGCATCAGAAGATCCACACCGGAGATAGACCCTTTGAATGCAAAGACTGTGGAAAAGCCTTCATCCAAAGCTCCAAGCTGCTTCTGCACCAGATTGTCCACACTGGAGAGAAGCCATATGTGTGTAGTTACTGTGGCAAAGGCTTTATACAGAGGTCAAACTTCCTCCAGCACCAGAAGATGCACACTGAAGAGAAGCACCATGAGTACAGTCAGCAAGATCTTACTCCACCCCCAGACCTTGTCCACCAGGAAAGTCTTTCCCCGAGTGAGACCTCCATGCGTTTAGGTGAGAGGTCTGCAGATATGGGGTGTCATGCAGATAACTTATGAAACAGACACTCTCTGAGTCAGTAAGTGGTGCTTGGAAAATGGATGGATGTAGCATATATATGGCCTCTGAGATACAGATGTGTTGGTTTCCTGAGTCACAGATGGGCTGCTTTTGGTGTGGGTTACTGTCTACCATCAGAACAGGAAAGCTGAGGGACTGGACAGCTGCCCTAGAGCTGGACCACTAAGGGAGAGCTTAGAAAGTTTTCTAGGTTTTATGCACAGAACATATCCTTGAGTTAAATCCTTTCAGAGCAGAGCTTTGTGTATTATTACTTGAGAAATGGTTACCTATCTGAAAGGTTGGAGAATGGGGCTTTCTCATGCAAAACCACAAGTTGGTTCTCTGTTGCCTAGGGTTAAACCTCAGGCCCTGGGCCTGTAGAAGGCCTTTGCTTCCTCTGCTGTTTGGCTTCTGGTAATGCAGGTGATGTGTACTGCTGCCCACATCTACAGCCTGCTCCCTCTCTTGTTCTTGTTTGAGGGTCTCCCAATAGCTCTTGCTAGATGAGCCTTCTCCCAAGCATCATGCCCAGGATACTCTTCTCCAGTACCAAGCCGAGTCTGCATCTTTGTGCTTCTGCTGTTCAGTGCTTACCTTTGCTACTCTGCTTCCTTGTAAATACTGGAATTATGAATGCTCTCGTTGTTCTCCGTTCCTTGAGGACAGTGATCATGTCTCATTGATTCCTGTGTCACCAGTGTCTAGCACATGACAATAAAAATACCCCCAAGCCTGTCCAATTGGCTTGGGTTTTTTAAATTTTTTTGAGGCAAGATTTCAGTATGTGACCTGGGCTGGCCCGGAACTTGCACCCTGCCTCAGCCGCCTGAGTATTGGGATTAGAGATGTGTATTATGACGCCTTCCCTTGTTATCTCCTGCTGCCTTTCCATATTGCTGTTGTTCAATCTAGAGGCGTTCTTTTGTGTTTGGCATCAGTATGATCTGTTCTACTGGGAGGTACCATCTCCCCAAAGCTCTCCTAACACCTGTTCTTGCTAAGAATTGCTGACAGAGTCCTGTCTGCAGTTGGTGCCCACAAAGTGCGGTCTGAACCTCATGCAGAGCTGTCCACTGTATTCAGGGGGAGGAGCAGCATCTTAACCTTCCGCAGGCACTCGACAGTGCGACTCCAGTGCACTACATCACTTTTTTCTGTTTTAACTCCAAGCCTGATTCAAGTCTTGCCACTTTCTTACTCTCTGACTTACATCAGTTACTTGAAAATGTATTGAGATCTGTGAGAGTCTAGATATTGGGGAGACAAGGGAAGGCAGCATCCATTGAGATCTGTGAGAGTCTAGATATTGGGGAGACAAGGGAAGGCAGCATCCATTGAGATCTGTGAGAGTCTAGATATTGGGGAGACAAGGGAAGGCAGCATCCATTGAGATCTGTGAGAGTCTAGATATTGGGGAGACAAGAGAAGGGAGCATCCATTGTCTGTGGAGTGACGTGGAAGGCAGATGGATCACAACGCAGCAACTGAAGTGGGTGCCGAACCCTATAGGAGCCCTAGGCAGGAGGTAACTAGTGGCACCGTAGATCTAGGAAGGCTTCACAGAAGAGGTGACATTTTAACTGATCCAGAGAGATCAGTAGACCTTCATCACCTGGAGAGAAGAAATCTGAGAGTATGTCTCCACAGACACAAGCAGAGCTCAGGTTGCTCGTCTGGTCAGGTTTAGTACATGGTGTATTACAACCAGCAAGATTGTCTTTGCCTCTGAATTTCTTTGATCAGAGCATTAACCACAACAACCAATTTTCAGTGATAGAAAAAATAACATTTGTCCTAGAGGGGCATATCTTGAGTTTTTAACAGATTCCAGCAAACCCAGAAGCTTCAAGTGGGCAGATAAAAAGGACACTTCTGGAAAACTTGCCATCACAAGATGTAGCTAGCAGAGGAGCAGGTTTTACCAGGCCATCTCAATCAGTGATACAACAGCTGCTTCAGGCGTCCAGCTTGGAAAATATCTCTGTAGCCATACCACGATCAAGAAAAATAATACTTCTTTCACCTAGAGAGAGCTCCCTCCTGCCTTTCCCCCATCCAAGTCCTGCCCTATAACTGCTTTCTGTGGTGTAGATTCATGTTCGTTGTCCTGACCTGTATACCTGTGAACTTGTGAGGTAGGTGCCTTGTGTCTGACTTTGGTCACCTTGGCATGTTCTTAGACTCAGCCAAGTTGCTTTGTGCTTTTGTAGTTCTCTTTGCCAAGTCGTATCCCATTGTATGGTAAATCATCATGTATTCACTCATCCACCTGCTGATGGAAATTGGGTTTCCAGTTCGGGGTCTTAATAAAATTACTGTGATCATTTGTGTAAAATTATTAATTTGCACGTGTGTTTATTTCAGGTAAACATAACTTTTATTGCTGGGTTATCTTGGTCTCAGATGGCTGTAAAATACTCTCAGTGGGATGGCTTATGAACAACAGAATGGTATTTTGCATAGTATTTAGAGGCTGTGAGAAGATGAAGCAGACAGATGTGTCTGGTGAGGCTTCAGGGATGGGTCCCTTCTCCCTGTAACCTGCCATAGCAGATGGGAACTAGGGGGCTTTCTCTAGTCTCTTCTGAGGGCAGAAATCCCATTCATGAAGGCTCTACTCCTGATCTAATCACCTTCCCAAAGTCCCACCTCTTAATGTCATCACCCTGGGGATTAGGATTCCAACATGAATTTTGGGGGAGAGGAAACAAATGTTCAGTCTGTTGCAGTAGGTCCAGTTCTGACTATAATTGTCACACAGGTCTCTGATGCTGTAGGTCCAGTTCTGACTGTGATTGCCACACAGGTCTCTGTTGCAGTAGGTCCAGTTCTGACTGTGATTGCCACACAGGTCTCTGATGCTGTAGGTCCAGTTCTGACTGTGATTGCCACACAGGTCTCTGATGCTGTAGGTCCAGTTCTGACTGTGATTGCCACACAGGTCTCTGATGCTGTACTGTTCTGCATTCATGCCAGTGTAAAAGTGTTCATGTCACCTCCTGTCTTTGCTAACAATATTGTCAGCCCATTCTTCATTCTGAGTGATTGTTTTGGTCTTTTTGAGACAGGGTCTCCCTGTAGCTCCATCTGGCCTGGAATTCACTATGCAGACGAAGCTGGCCTCCATCTCACAGCAGCGATCCTCCTGACTTTTCTCCCAAGTGCTAGGAGTAAAGGAATATACCACCATGCCTAACTGATGTTTGGTGTTTTTGAGTCAGGGTTTTGCTTTGTAGCCCAGACTGGACTTGAGCTTGTGATGCTCCTGTCTCAGCCAAGATTATAGGTGTCACCATACCCAGTTTGTATTAGGTTTTTTAAAAAAGCTACTTTTCAAAACTGAGCATAGTAGCTCCCACCTGTAATCCGAATGGCTCTTAGGAGGTGAGGCCTGGTTAGAGGAAGTAGATCACTGGAGTGTATTACGTTCCCAGCCACCCCACCCCCATCTCTTTTGTCTCAGCCATTTGGCTGCCACAGGGTGAGCAGCCTCCTGTACTACCTGATCCTACTGTCACAGTCCCATAGCAATGGAGCAAACTGACCATAGACTAAAGCCTTTAAAACAGTTAAAAAAATTCTCCCATGTCAACTCCAGGTATTTTGTCACAGCAACGAAAATTCAACACATTTCAAAGTTCCTTTTCATCTCTCTTTTTAAGCTTAGCTCTGTAAAGAGACCTGAAGTGGAGTTGTAATAAAATAGCATTTTATTCCTCACATGAGAGTTGCCGGGCAAGTGACCACTGTCCTCCCATTCCTGGTCTCAAGGTGCTGCAGTTGTTGCTGTTCTAACCCATGGGCGGCAGACCTGTGTGACTAATAGCAGCCTTGTCTTTTGTTTTTAAGACCCTAACTCGAAGGGGGCACGTGACATTCACATCCCTTAGCCTGAACTCAATCACCTGGCCACAGAAGCTCAAAACAAGGCAGAGGACTGGGGGCTACTGTGGGCTACAGCTTGCCAGTGAAGCAGAAGGCGCTGGTGGAAGACGAGACCAAGGGGAGCAGGCAGAGTCACTGGAGGAAATACTGCATGCCACAGAAAATGTTCATTCTAATCGAACTAAGCATTCTCTAAGACAGCATCTCACTATGTAGTGTAGTCGGCCTTGAACTCACTATCTTGCTGTAGCCTACAAAGTACTGGGATTACACCACCTCATCCTATACTTTTATTTGCTAAATCTGCCAATCGCGAAGTTCCATTTTATACAATTGATTGCAGAAGGCAGTCCAAGAAGTCTGTGAGGCACATTCCAGACAGCAGAATGTTCCCAGATGCTGAGATGCACAACTTAGAGGGTATGTTGGAGTTACAGAGGTCCTGTGGGCAGTTAGAGGCCTTGAGAGGCACCAGGCGGCTCTGAGCAGAAGAGTGACAATCAGACACTAGGTGGGTCTGAGCAGAAGAGTGATGATCCTTTGTTGATGAGCTGTAGGGTGCTGGGACCAGGTAGCAGAAATACCAAGTGGCCACACACCCCAAGCACTCCCCAGCCAGTGACAGATGTGAGTAGGAAGGGGTCCTGGTATAGGGAAGGGGAGCCACTTCTCTCCTAGTGCCTGGCAGTTCCTGGTTGACAGAAGGGACATTTCTTCTGCAGGCACCTCTCTGAACGGGCAAAGTAAGTGGCCCTTTGCTCCGGAGGTTAGTTGTGGTGGCACTTCACGTGGGCCTGGTGAGCATCTCTGAAAACTCCTGCACTGCTCCCACAGCTAGCTTCCTGCCTCAGCCAACAGGCAGACACTCCCTGTGGCTATGTGCTCACTCAGGTATGCTCCCAGTTCAGGTTGGTGGCCTGTGACCTGGGGCAGGAGTCAGTGCTTGTAAGCAGTCACTGATCTCCAGTGAGCAGGTTCTGCCTCCTCCCCTCCAAAAGCTTTGTGAGTTATGTCAGAATCAAGCAGACGTGCTTGTGTCTCTACAATGTCAGAATTTACTAAATAACAACAGGCTCAAAATATGTCAGCTTTTAAATTTATTATTTTTATTTTATGTGTATTGAGTGTGTTCCCTGCATGTATGTAAGTGTACCCATCTCATGCAATGCCTGTGGAGGTCAAAAGGGCATCAGATCCCCCTGGAACTGGAGTTACAGACAGTTGTCAGCTGCCATGTGGATGCTGGGAATTGAACCCAGGTCCTCTGCAAGAGCAGCCAGTGCTCTTAACCCCTGAGCCATCTCTCCAGCCCCAGTATGTCAATTTTGCTGGCTGCAATTTGTCAAATTATTCTGATCTTGCTTCATGGCTGTTGATAGTCACAAATTCATTTACATATGTCACAGAATAGCTAAGAAAGGGTTAAAGATGATGCAGAGTTCATAGAAGCCTCTAACCTGGAGGCAGAGATTCTGGAGACCAGATAAGCCTTACCTGCTAAGCAGGCACAGAGGTTTTCAGGCCCACAGATGTCAGATGTGAGTCCAGGTGGCAGGCTGTTTTGACAGTTTGAAGTGGGTTGTGTATCACAATAGGAGAAACTGCTCATGCTATAGTCCAAGGACAGAGGCAGGGGTCTTTTGTTGTGGAAGCTGCCTGTGCAAGGCTTCTGACAAGCTGGTGACTGTTCAGCATGCCCGCTGTATTGTCTTGTCTTGGTGAATTCCTTCCTTTCGTTGTCTTGGGAAGGAGTCCATCTGCTGTGCCTGAGAAGCTCGTGTGTCCAGGGTTCACATTTGATTTTAGTATTTGTAGCTGTCATTATCAGCACAAGTAAGTCATATATCACTTTTGTCTCCTGGGGTGCTGGCAGATGGTGGTTGTTTACTTGTCCTAGTTTGCTTTCTACTGCTGTGATAAAACTGTGACCAAAAACAAGTTGGGGGGGTAAGGGTGGTATTGCCTCTTCCATTTCCAAGAGACAGTCCATCTCTGAGAGAAGTCAGGCAGGAACTGATGCATAGACCACAGAGGAATGCTGCTTACTGACTTGATCTTCTGGCCTGTGTTCAGCCTGCTTTTTTATACGACCCAGGACCACCTACCCAAGGTTGTGGGCTGAACCCTCCCACATCACTCAACAATGGAGAAAATGCCTCACAGACAAGCCCACAGACCAATCTGATAGAGAAAATTCCCCAATTGAGGGTCCCTCTTCCTGGGTGTGTCATGTTGACAAGCAAAGCCATCCCTTCCCAACCTTGACACACAAATCACTTCAAACCATAACCTTTCCTTTCTTTGCCCCCAAGATCTCACCTTAATATCACAATAGAAAGCACAGTACAACTTTAAAAAGTTACACAATCTTCAAAAAATTCTGTCACTTAAAATAATCTCTATCTCTTTAAAATAATCCAATGTCTCTTAACTGTGGGGTAGTATAAAGTAAGAAAATATAGTTCATGCTTTCTTTTTCTTTCTTTTTTAAATCTTTTTGAGTCAGGGTCTCTCCCTGTTGCCCCAGCTGGTCTGGAACTCACTATGTAGACAGAGATCCGCCTGCTTCTGCCTCCCAAGTGCTGGGACAAAAGGCATGCACTACCATGCCTGGAGGTTCATACTTTCTTATTTCAAAAGGGAATAACTGGGCATGCTTAGCAAAACCAAAGTTCAACAGCATCGCTCAGAGTTCAACATCTGGGATTCACTCAAATCTTCTGGGATTCAAAAGGGTTGGGCAGCTGCACTTCTCTGACTCTGCCATCTAAAGCACACACAGCTTGTCTCCTAGGCCCAGGCCAGCTCCCCTTCACACCAGATACACCCTTGATAGTCCTGCTGTGGTCCTGGCATCTCCAATATGTTGGAGTCTTCACTGCAATGGAGGCTGTACCTTTACCAATGGCCTCCTGGCCTCTCTACAGGGACTCCAACCCTACCAAATGCTGCCAAGCTTCAGTTGCTTTCTATGACCCCTCTATGCCTTCAAAACGAGTATCATGTTGAAAACTCTTACACTACCAAGCTCAGCTACCATCTTGAGACACAGCCTTGGGCACCAGGGACCACAGCTTCTGTGTAGTACCCCTGAGAAAATACTTCCCAGAAGACTTTACCTCAACGATGCTGGTCTCTTCTTAATCACAGCTGATTTTTTTGTTCAGCCCCAGCTAACCAGCATTGATTAGCTCAGTAAAGCAAAGGTTTCACTTCAGTGATGCTGGTCCCTTCTTAATCACAGCTAATTCTTCAGGCCCAGCTGACCAGACACCACACATTCTCAACTCAAAATATCACAAGAATAGGACTCTGGAGGCAGAGGCAGGCAGATCTTTGTGAGATTGAGGCCAGCCTGGTCTATATATCAAGTTCCAGGCCATCTAAGGCTACAGGAGACCCTGTTGATGGAGTCTCCACTTCTACCTGAAACGTTATAAGCGAGGCTTCCTCCATCTGCACGTCTCTTGGAATTCTCATCTTCCAACGTCCCATAGAACAGCTCACTAAGCTCTGCATACTCAATGGGTTTTCAGCCCAAAGTTCCAAATGCTTTGTACAGTCCTCCCCAAAACATGGTCAGGCCTGTCACAGCAACGCCCCACTCCTGGTAGTAGTTTCTATTCTAGCTTGCTTTCTATTGCTGTGACAGAACACTGACGAAAAACAACTTGGGGAGGAAAAGGATTTACTGCATCTTTCACTCCTCCATGACAGTTACCTGTATAAACAAGGTATCCAGTCACTCTTTCTTGGCACTTATATTCAAAATGTAGTAACTTGGATCAAGGCTGTTGCTTTGAAAATAGAGTCATTCAAGGCTGGGCCCAGCCTGAGAGCTGATTTTCCATACAATACAGAATAACCCTGATCGGGCCTATTGTCAGTCCACCCCTGGTTCTGGAGTGTGGGAGCCCAGTGGTTTTGTAGCAAGAGAAATCACACATTTTCTTTTTCCATAATAGGTTAGAGGTGATGGCACCAGTCTTAAATTGAATACAAATATAGTTAACAATGAAAGCAATATATCTTTTAGATGAGATCAAATTGTGCCAGTCAGAGAATACCAGCCAGCCTTGACCCAGGTCAGCATGTTCCAATAGACCACAAACCTGTACATTGTGTGTGTGTGTGTGTGTGTGTGTGTGTGTGTGTGTGTGTGTGTGTTGAGGGATTTGCCAACTGTTTGGAGGGAAGTGCATTTTGGGTGTATGTTTGCCAGTGCAGTCAAGTTTGGGTTTCTTGTGACCGCATGCTTTCAGTTGAATCCTTTACATTCATCAGTTGTTTCTGGAACTCAGATAGTGTTTTGAGTTCTCATGGTTTGCTTTGATCACAGTGTCCATGTGTGTGTGTTGATACACAGGATTTCTTGGATTCTGCCATACCATGACTCAGACTCCCTTCATAGTAACCTGGATAATATTTGTCAACTTTATATTCTTAGTTTACAACTATCTGACCATTCATATATAGACATAATTACAATATTTGTAGGGTAATAGCTGTGGTTGAAATAATATCCTAAAATGTACTATAATAAACTGATGAAGACTGCACCACATCCTTGGTTAAACAGATCTTGAGATCATCCATCCATCCATCTATCCATCCATATCTATCTAAACATATATAAGATCTTTAATTACATGTCCCATGTTCTATCTGATGTAATCTGTCCATTTGTTTGACGAGACATTACATCCCAGTAAGTTTCCATTATGCAAAAGATCCAGTTAATGAGCTTCCTAAAGTGATGTACATCTATGCTGCTGGCAGGTATGTCTGCACCTGTGCAGGTAGTGATCATGGTGGGCATTGGTGCAGGCTCACTAATTTTGGATGGGCAATAACACTGTCTTAGTAGCCAGGCATGGTGGTTCAGGCCTTTAATCCCAGCACTTGGGAGACAGAGGCAGGTAGATCTCTGTGAGTTCCAGGTCAGTCTGGTCTACATAGCAAATTACAGACTAGCTGGGGCTACAGAGAGACCGGGTCTCAAACAATCAAATCAAGCAAACAAGAAACCCAAAAACTGTCTTGGTGGACAAAATAGGTTGTTGGATGTGATAGTTATGGTGTCTAGGATGATCAGAACCTGAACAGTGGTGATTATGCGTGTGCAAGAGGCTGAGCTTAGAGGTTGGTGCTTGGACGTAGGTGAGAATTGCAGTTGCAGTAAGCTCTTGTGTGTTGTTAGCCTTTTTAGTCCTGTGCAGGGTTTGTCACTGCCATTGCTGTGCTGCTCCAGGCCACTACAAACGTCAGCAAGGCCCATGTCATCGTTCAGGTATGTCCCTAAGTGCTGGGGCCGACTGTGTGCAGCTGCAGTGCCCCTTTGTGTTCTCTCGTCTCTTGGAGCCAGGGTTCGCCATAGGAAGATATTTCCACCCTTAGTTCCGGCATGCGCCTCTTGATATACCATGCTGAGTTTTCCTGTGTCCCTTCTTTCTCTATTTCCAACAAGAACATTTAAGTAGGGGCATGGGATTCTCTTCTTTTTTAAAAATTATTTATTTATTTATTTACTTGGTCTTTTTGAGACAGGGTCCTCTTGCAGCCCCAGCTGGCCTGGAACTCACTTAACTTACTCTCAGCCTCTATGGCCAAGGGCGAGAGCAGAACTACTGTATGAGTATAACCATACTTAGAATGCCTATGGGCTCCCAAACCATGGACTTTTAACCAGCTTTATAGTACCAGGCATGAATTCTGTCCTATGGAGCAGGCCTCAAATACAAGCAGTTGGTCACCCCCATAACCTTCATGCCACTATTGCAGTAGTGGGTATGTCTTGCCCAGTAGAGTGGTGTCCTAGCTAGCATTAACTGTCAAATTTCACACAACCTAGAAGCACATGAAAAAAAGTCTCAGTTGAGTGATTGTCTCTACCAGCTTGGTCTGTGAGTGTTGTGTAGCAATTTCCTCCAAGATAAAACCTTCCACTCTGGGAAATACTTGTTAAGACATAGGATGTTCCAAGGGGTGATGAAAGCTTCCATCCTGCAGGAAAGCTCATGAAGCTGAGGACGGAATTCCTCAAAGGCCCCAGGAAGTCCCTGAACCTTACCAAGTTCCCTGGGCTCCTTCCTCCCCAGCATATACAA